TATATATATATATATAATTATTATTATTACTGTAATAAATAATATTATAGTATATAATAATATATATAATAATATTATATATAATATTAGAATTTAAATAATATTATATATGTAGAAGATATGTAAAGTAACATTATTTTTCAATATTATATAATATTTATTTAAATATAAACTATTTAAAAATTTCAACATTATTTATACCGTTTCATAATTATAGGACAAATCAAAATATTAATTTGCATATATTCGAATAACTTTTTTTTTGTTAATTACGTTTAATTACATTTTCATATGCATTGAATATATTATAATATATATTTATGATGTAGAATTACAGTTGAGAATTAACATTATAACTTAATGGACTATGTGCTCGTATCATAGGAAGTAAAACTCTATTATAATCTTGAAGGATCATACGTATTGTTTGATAATCCGTGTTTTGAGTAACATTCTTTGGTCTTGCGCAGCTGATCAATCTCCTTGCTTCCTGAGCGCATCCAACATCGTTTGCCAATCCAATAGGAGAGAAGTGCAAAGTATCGTACGTAAAGTCCAACAGTTTCCTGACAACGCAATCGATTACACTATCATTCGGAATTTCACCCTCACCGCTTTCCGTGCAATCTTTTATCGTGTTGCTCATCCAATTCCAATCATCCCATTCGCTAGAGTAATCAACATTTTTGTTCTCCATTTGCCAGGTTAACAGAGCACGATATCTGCAATTACATTAACATATAATTTGTTTATTTTCAAAAGCGAAATATTTCTTTTTTTTTTGTTTTTCGTTAATTTTATATTTTCTACTTACCCCCAATTCCAAGGATTTTTACTAAATCTAATTCTTTTTAAGTTCGCCATATAGACGAACATGTTATAGTCTATAGTTTGAAAGTTATTATAATCGATGTAGAAGTTTTCCAAGTAAGGAAGCAACGGAAAGACGTTATAATCCATGGTTTGTATTTGATTGAACGATAAGTCGAGAGTTCGAAGATTATAAAGGTTTACGAACCAATCACCAATTATCCATGTCAGTTGGTTACCCCATAGTATTAGTTCATTCAAGTTTACTAATCCTATGAAAGCTCGAGGTTCCAATACTTTGATATTATTTTCATGTAGATCCAAAACTCGTAAAGTTGCACTAAATTTTATGAAGGCTTGTCTTCTCGTCAAAATAAAAAAAAAATATATATATATATTTAATTTAAACAATTATTTCCTTCCAGAATTATAACATTGTTAAATCTTGAAATTAATTTATGTGCACTCACCCTGCGATAGTATTTAAATTAGATCCATAAATTTTAATATTCGTTGTATTACTTCGTGCCGATTCCAAATGATTTAGTAAAGTGTTTAATTCTGTACAATCGAAAGTTATTCTATTTGGAAATTTCGAAGTTATCGTTCGACAAAATTTCTTCGAGTAGGCGTGACCAAATAAATAGAAAACGAGGAAGTAGAATAAACACCTCATTTTTGTTTTCTATAATTTTCTTCTTTTTTTTATCCTTTAACGTCGAGGAACTTGTTACACGAAGGAAATCTCGCGACAAACTGAATATTTTTAACGATATTATTATCAGTTACATAGTCGCACAGAGTGGTGGGTGTTCTTTTTCGTTTCTCATTTCAATGGAAAGATGATAATATTATCTGTTAGAACTTCCGGATACGTTTTTATATATTTTTATAATTCTCGTGTAATAATTCCATTTATTTTTCTTTTTTTTCATACTGTTCCTGTGATAACCTTAGTTATGAGATTTTTACATTTATTATAATTTCATTTTGTTAATGCAGGTGTATTATTTTGTACGATTTGTGGTATCATTGAACCGGAATAATTTTATTGTGATTTGTATTTTTCTTACAAAACAGGGAAAAATTTGTATGAATTACTTTTTTTTTTTATAATACAAACAACATTTATTGTCATGCGTATATACATTCAAGTGAATATAATTTAATCTTGGGCAAACCGAATGTGATTTCGGTCCTTATGTATCATAATTCTCCATTAATAATATCTGATTTAAAGAAAAAGAATAATCTTTGTTTTCTTAATTTTAGAGAGTATCAAGAATTTTGTTTGTATCAAAACGAAGAAAAGATTTCTCTACTGTAAAACAATAATGGTCACACACATTACATCTACCCTTATTGTCATAAAAATGTTCTCCTTTTTTTATTTTTTTTCTGAAGGTAGAGAGGAGTTGTTATTTACACCACAACACGAATTTTTTTACTTCCGTGCATTAATGTTTTTCTAAGAAAGAAAAAACAAAGGGAAAAGATGAGTTAAAGAAAGTCGTTTGATTTCTCTATAAATTACAAAGATGTTAGATGTTGCAATATATATATAAAAAAAAAAGAAAAATCGAGTTATCAGAAATCGAAAGATTTGTTCAATAAGAGGACGTAATAACAAAGAGTAGAACAAAGATCGTCAGATGAAGTTGATGAACCGATCTAAAGTGACGCGTGCTTGCAGCATCATTCTGTGCGTCCAGTTGGGTCGGTGCTGAATGTGCGGGCGCAGGTGCTGGTGCTGGATAAGAGGAGGAAGAAGAAGAAGAAGATGAGGAGGACGAGGAGGATGAAACTTTAGAATTCTTCGCTAGGACGACACTTGGCAGAGAGTTGGAGTTATTTCTTCTTGAGATCGGCGTGGTCTGCGTCCAACTTCCAACATTTCTCTGCGTCGAATTCGTACTACCTTCATCTCGTTCTAACGCATAAGAGGAATACTTCTTGCTGTGACTTCTCCTTTCCGTTAGCTTTCCCCACTTTTGCCTCTCGACGGACTCGGTATTGCGAATTGTCGGTGCTGTCGTCCTCGACAGATGCAACTCTGTAACCGTTTTATGGAAAAATTTTCTGTTCCTTCTTTCCTTTCTTTTTAAAAATGCATATCTGTATTCGTGAAAAGTAGTTAGACCTATACGAATCAAGATTTCAATCTGGACAACAATTGTTTTAAAATAGCTAACCTATCCGAAACCCCTCCTTTTATAGGACCCAACCCCTTCTCATGAATATTCACTTGTTATAAAATGGAAATAAATTGTGTTACTTTACCTTGAAGTCTTATAGTACCCTCTGCCTTACCGTATGGATTTTCCGCTGAACAAATATAACTACCGAAATCGTTTCGACTTAAATGTTTGATCGTCAGATTTAATTGATACGCGTATTCGTTGATCGTGAACTCGGATACGTTGTGCTTGTCGTTCGTCAACATTTGTATTCCTACCAAAATATTTTTCACTTTTTTCATTTCTTTTTTTCTTTTTTATTTTATTTTATTTTTTGTTTACAGATTAATTGTGATTATATTATTCCTAATGGAAACTCACCGTTGTCCTTGTACCACGTGTTCGAAGCTTTAGGAGAGGATTCAACGTAACACTGTAGAACGACATTGCTATTCGTCGGAGCAGCTACCAACTGATTCGTTACTTTGATCAAAGGCTTAACTGTAAGTAAATGAACTTTCCTATTAATCGTATAGCTTTCGTTTTAATCTACCAGGAAGTTTGTTCTCGTCCATAACTTACATCGAACGTTGACGTGATATCTTTTACTAACTGCTGGTGGTATACCGTTTGATGCTATGCACAAATACGAGCCCATCTCTTGTCGTAAAATCCCTGTTAGGTGCAGTTGTTCACCCTCGTAGATTTGTACTTGAGAATGAAATTTTATTTTATTTTTAAAGAGCTCTTCAGAAATGGATCTTATTTTTATAAGGGTAGAAAAAAGGAAAAACAAAAACAAATAAAAAATTACTTATATTTATTGGATCAGCAGTATGTGTAATAATATAAGAGAAATTATAATTACATGCTAAGACGCTTAATTATTTATAAAGAACATAATATTAACGATTAATTAAATTAGGAAAAAATATCGGAACACAAAAAAGAAAATTAGTGTTATAAAACTAATATCAGTGATCAGATTAAAGGTAATAAATTGATTGAAAGCATAGAGATAGAGAAGATCAATATTCTTGTTCAGATGAAAATTGAGAAAAAGAATAAAGAAACAAAAAAAAAATAAAACGGTTTGAGAGCACTTAGGTAGGATGCACAAACTAATAAAGACATTACACACGCTACTGTCGATAGATTTTAAAAGGAAAATCGCGGAATTGCTGGTACGATGGAGATACCGGTGGCTGGTATACACTCTCGCGACGCAATGTACACACTGAATATTGCAATCGGATAGACGAAGAGTCGATGGGCTTGGTAGAGAGGAAATATATGTAAAGTCAACATCCATCACTCACTGTTAGAAAGGCTAATCGGATGGTTGCTTTTCCGCGGGACATCGTTGAATCTACGTAACGGAGTGTTCGGCCTTTTCATCACGTTACTACGAAAAAGTCTCGACGATGATGACTACATGGAAAATATATTGTCGTCGCAAATCTATCACGTCGTTGGCTTCTCTCTCTCTCTTTTCGCTCTTCCTCCTCAACATCCCTTCCTTCATTCGGTTTGATCAAAACCGAATAGAAAATTTTCATGGTACAAAAGAACGACGGTATCGTTCAAAAGAAATATAAATGATAAAAACATTCAATGGATTTTTCAAACATTGATTGATCCCCAAATGAACGTATATTAACACATTGTTGATCCTTCTTACTAATGTACAATTTATCTATATATATATGCATATATAGCTTCAATATAAATATTATTTTTAAATGTAATTATCCTCAAATTTTCAATAGATTAACACACTCTCAACCTACAAACGTAAAATTCATATATTTACATATTTATTTTATTTCACAAGATTCTTATGCAATGATAAATACCAATCCGATAATACAATAAATCTATACTTAAATTGTCTATAATAGGCGTATATATTCACTTAATTCGCAATCGGTAGGTTGATAATGTATTAAAGATTTTAATCGGATTATAGCTCTTGGAACAATGCGTTAACATTCTGTTTGTCTCTCTATCAGTGAATTCGGATCATCTTTTTAAACCATGTGGTATGTACGTTTATAATCAACATACATTCTCTATATGTTTATTATATAGATACATACACATCGTAATAGATCAAAGGAATATAAGATAATAATACCTCGTTTAACACCTAACTCGCTTCTAAGAGTAATTTCACGTCCATCCTCTCTTCGCCAGGTGACCATAGGTTTTGGTGTCCCGGTGGCACGACACCGTAATCGTAGATCGTCGCTTTCCTTAGTCGTTAAAAGGTCAGCCGATTCGTCGAGATCCATAATATCAGGTGGTATCACTACTTTCATGTAGCCCGTCTGTGTAACATTTGTTACTGACTAACACATACTACTATTGCTGCAATGACTAGTAAAGGGTCTACTACTATTATCATCAACCCACCCTATACTCCTTTGCCTTACCCATATATGTATTTATTACATACGTTCTATTCATATTCGACGACTATTGCGATTGCATGGCCGAGATTTATCATTAAGCTCGGTTTTAGAGTACGAGAGAAAGCATTGAGTTGTGCGATATTTGAATGCAAATAATAGGACCGTTAAAGGACCTAGTTTGAGTGAGAGACAGAAGATTTTTCTTATGAATTTTTTACAAAACAAAAAAAAATTATTTGATTGACTAACAAGTAATATTGAAATTTATATGAATTTGTAAGTTATGTTATATAATTAGATTATTATTAATAAGATTATTATTTTTTTTATATTTTATTTATATTTTATTTTATATTTTATTTATTTTTATATTATTATGTTATTATCATAATAAGATTATTATTTTTGTTCTTTTTTAATTAAAAAATATTTACTTTATTTTATATGCAATAAATAGCACTGTAATATTTTTATTTTTATTTGGAAAATTTGAAATATCTTATATGGAAATCAATATTTTGATATATCTTACTAATTAGTATTAATTTTATTCGAAAAAAAAAACATGACCAGTATATTTTATATTGAAAATTTCGACAATTATTCTTAAAAATAAAAGATTCTCTTTCTCTTTTTTATCTTGTCTCCAAGTAAATCGATCGAGAATGAAATATTTAATATACTTTTCGTATAAAAATATAACATGGTATAGTTCATAGTTTCTTAAAATTGATTCAATCCCAATTGTCCTATCTGTCTCTTAGAACTTGTCTAAAGAAAATATTGTACATCGAATATAACACGTTATATAAATATTACCCCTTACATTCTCGAACACGCATATTCTAGTCGAACTTCCCAACAACAATAGTAGTTGAAAGCGAAAGAATATACGATGAGAAGATCGCTTATGATTTTTGCAATTCAAAAAAAAAAGTATATTTAATATTTTTAACTATATTTTAGTTCCTTTTCTTTTCTTTTTTATTGATTTCACTAACCTGACTATTCATGGGGTCCGTATTAATCTGACACATGTAAGTTCCAGAATCGTTAGGTTGAACGTTGCTAATATGAAGCTTCCAAGTATTGTGCCCGTTATGGGTGACCGAAAGTCGTGGGTTATGAGCAACCATGTGAGTATGAATAGCTAGTATGGCTCTCGAATCTGATTTTATCCAGGCAATCTGTTCAAATGAAAGAAATTATGCAAATTAACATTCATTGTGTGTATATATATATATACATATAAATACAATACATAGAATACACAATATACATTATAAGTATAATAGAAATAGAGGTCATGCAGTATTTTTTCAAGCAAACTCTCTTCTCTTAAAACACTCGAACGAAAAGCAAATTGTATGACTCGTTACTTCGTACCATTCGTAACGAGAGTCATTCAGGATAAATGGTGTAAAGCGTGCCGCGTACTGCAGCTAAAAACCGAATGGTTAAAAAAGAGAGGCAAATAGAGGGAGAGAGAGAGAGAGAGAGAGAGAGAGGGAAAGTGAACAATCACCACGGTTTTTAGCTTCTACTTACAATTAGCAAACGATAGAAATATGGGATCCAACGCTAGCTAGAGTTTTTTTCTTTTTTAAATGAAAAAAAAAAAAAACAAGAAACGGAAGTAACTGCGAACTCTTCGTTTTAATACGTTAGTCTTGAAATATGACGTCAAGGTTCTTGTTAAAAATGTTCATCGATATTTTGGAAATAATATTTATAACATTATCGAAAGAATTATTTATATTATATTATAATGTATATATGCACACATATATTAAAAACCATTATATTTAATTAAAAATTTTTTTTCTCAGGAAAAAAGGCATGAAAGAATATATACATGTATATGTGTATATAAAAAGACATCAACAATTTTGTTCATATGAACGTAAATCTTTTTATGTTAGTTCTTTTCGATATTGATATCAATTTATTAATATATCCTCCCTTCGATAAAACTTCGGAAATACTTTAGAGAGAGTCGGAATCTTATAAATTTTTAATAAATCCAATTGATGTAAAATGGTATCTCGTTATAAGTTGTAACATTCTTCTTTTCCCCTTCCTTATCTTTTAATATAATACAACAACAAAAAATTTTTAATAGACAGGACAGAGACGACAATATTAAAAAAAAAAATGAAAAACTTTATTTAAATTAAAGTTTAAACATAATTAATAAGTTAATACGATATGATCATAGAAATTCCATAGCGAACTGATTTTCATCGTATGAAAGATTTAAAATCATATATAAAAATATAATAAATGGAAAAAAAAAATTGAAATCGTTCGTGAAATATCAAGTAGATTTCAACTTGTATTTTGAGATCTTATTAAATATTAGTTGCTCTGATTTATGTCTCTTCTTTCGTATTTTCTTTTTAACCTCTCGATCCCGTATTCTTTACATTCTTTCGATAGCGGTACATACAGTTTGGCCACGACTCTTCTTCAATTTCTATGTACCTTACCATGTATTTACTACTCCTTTTGCGATCCGCGTACACTTTGAGAATCAATTGTTGATTCGAACGTGCAATCAAACTCAGACTTCTTCTCCAAAGTGAATTACTTTTTCCAAGCTTCTTTTTGTCGACCTTACTTTTCCTTTTTATATACCCATTTAAATATAGAACATACGTATTACCAGTTTTATTTTGCATTTTGAGAGATGAATGCATTTTGATTTCATGTATCAGTTTGGTATAAATAAAAAAAGAAAAAATACAAATGTCACTTAAAAAGTTCAGATCAAATTTAATATTATAACATATCCAAGGTAACAACACATTATTATATTTAAATAATATTAAAATAATTTTAAGCTACAAATTGTATTACTTGAAACTTATCAAAACTTTTCATCATCAATCCATCCCACATACAAATAATTCAAATCACAAATAAATGTATTATTTTTTTTTAATATCTTTCTCTCTTTCACACTTTGTTTTTTTTATATATATTCAGCAAACATGAAAACTGTCCATCCATTTAATGTATCTACTATACATATATACCATACATGAACTGCGTGTGTGAGTGAATGTGGATAGCTATTATGGATAATGCGCGATCAGTCTGAAGCACGTCGTGTATTTACGGAAACACGATTTAGGCCAGCACTTATACGATTTAGGCCTTGCCGGCCTTAATCGACTAACTAATTAAACCTACACCCAGATACAATTACCTTATAAGATTGAAGATGATTAACGACGCAGGTGAAGGAGACGTCACGGCCCTGAGTGACCGTATGGTTCTCCAAAGGTGCCAGAAACTGGGGCCGTAGATCCAACCTTGGCAACGTTTGACCTGCATTATGCGATTAATTATTAGGATTAGATATCAAATTTAACGTTTTACCTTTTTATTTTATTAAATACTTAATATTTTAATATTTTTTTATATTTTTTTATTTTATTTTTAATATTTACTTATTATTTTATATTTTAACAAACAAATAATAATATAATAATTATTATTACTATTATTATTATTATTATATTATTATTATTATTATTATTATTATTATTATTATTATTATATATTACATATTATTATTATTGGCAATATTTCATAATTAAATACCTAATCTAAAAATTGTATTAAAACAAAATTGGAACATCTCATATCAGTGTTATAAAATTTACATTAACGTAAGAAACATGTATAAAGAAATTGAAAGACAAAAAAACAGAATAGTAAATAAAAATACAATGTTTCGATTAAAAATTACGCGATATAAATTAGTTAACACGTTTCGCAATTTGAATCTACTTTTCAGCATGCGTCGTCGTTTAATTTAATCTTATACGTCACACACGTGGCAGTGTATTTAAATACCCTTCTTTGAATAATATCCATCATGGGGGAACTTACTTCTCTTTATCTTCTACTTTTCAACCCTTTTCTTATAAACTTGGTTAAAAGGGTGAACGAGACGAGGTAAGAGAAAGAAATAATGGGAGAGGGTAAAGTGTCTTATTCGAAATATAATTAATTAATTGAACACGTTGAATAATTTCATCGCTCATTGTTAAATTACTTGGAAAGAGGAACTTGCTAATATATTCCTTGTAGCATCTACTTTGTTGCAAGTTTAAGAAGAAAAAAGAAAATCGATTGGTTCTTTGGTAGGTAGTCAATATTCAAAAATCAAACTTGTGTTAGTTAGATCGGTGAGTTGCCCGGGGATCGATTAAATAGTCAAGGATACACTTCTTGTATCTTTTGAAAAGTTATCAAAGTTTAAAGTATCGATTACTCCTAAGCTATCCTCCAATCTCGATCTTAGTTGATAAGAGGAGGGGGAAGGAAAAAAAAGAATCATAACTTTAATTCTTTTTCTTCATTTTTTCATTTCTTTTTCTCCTTCCTCTCGGGTCTTTTTATTTTTATCTTTTTATGTTGTTATATTTTTTTTCTGTTTTTTTTTTGTCCTGTAATTCCCAGGACTTATCGACTTACGTGTATCGGTTGTACTTCAACGGAAACTCGAAAAACTTTTCCTCGCGAATAGTGCCTTTGAGAAGATTTCGTTCGATTTATTTCAAAAGTGGAACAAGCAAAGAGAAAATACAGTTAGAAAGAGAGAGAGTGAGAAGGATAGAAGCGTGGACAGTCAGATTTGTTTCTGTCATCTCAAGGCACACAAAGAAAAACCCTCAGCTAGGTTTCCTACCATATACCCTTTAACTTTTGCTTACCTTATTTTCAACTGAGAAAGAAAGAGAGAGAGAAAGAGTAAAAAACTAGAGGAAGAATCGTATAAATAAGGGGCACAGAGAGTAAAGCAAGTTTGCGGTTTTGGTATACCTACTACGTATCATTTGTCTCTTACCGAAACTAGAGTAAAGGAACGCTGTGAGAAGGAAGCAAGTAACGAGGTCCCGTGATGCCATGCCATAGGGTGGGCCATGCGCCATACGTGCTGTAAATAATACAAATAATTCATCTTCAAACATATCAAAAGATAATATTTTTCGTAAAACAACATTTTATCCCTCTTTGTTTCATCAATGATATAGAAAATTCAAATATAATTTTTCTTTTCATTTTTTATAACAATTTTAATATATAATAATAATGATTATTAAATTTACGACATTTGAAAATCTCAAGAATAATTATTGCATCTATCAATGTTCACGAGACACAAAGAAATAATTATACAATTTAAATGAAATTTCTTAACCATAAAGTAATTCCAGTTTTATCGTATAAGGTAAATAATATTTAATAACAATTAAGGATCCTTTTCTTATTACATAAATTAAAAATATTATTCTGAATTAAATACGATATTTAAAAAGTTATGGTAATGTTTGGAAATTGTTGAAACTTACTGATGAATCATGAAAAAATATTGAAAATTAGTTTTAGAAAGAGAAAGAGGAGAATTAAAATTAGGAATTTGTCTGCGTTGTCAACGTGACTTCCCTCTCCAAGTAAAAGTGAGCGTGTGAATGAGTGAATCTAAGAGATAGAGAAAGACAGAAAAGAGGGAGCAAGAAGGGTGAGAGGTCAGCACCGAATCGCGTGAATATTAACTCGACAGTTGGTCGCCACATAAACGCCAACCGTTGATATATCCTACCTACCCTTTGCCACCCTCAACCCCGTGACTTCCTCAGTCCTTTACCAACCAGCACCGCAATAATACTCGAATGGTAGCTATTCCTACCCCTTCAGCCAAGCACCCAGCCAGTCACCCACCAACCAACCAACCAACTACCCCATCCACCCTTCTCTTCTCTTCCCTTCGACCACGCACACTTCTATCGAAACGTTCACATTCACTTGCGTACAAATGCTGTGAACGTTCGTTGCTTGCTGCTGCCCACCAATGTGAAAGAGAGAGAGAGAGAGAGAGAGAGAGAGAGAGAGAGAACTAAAGAAACAGTCGAATGAAAATTTTACTCGCGCCTTTGCTCTTACTCTGAGCACTTTACCCCTTTTATATGACTTCGGCAGAGTTAACGTTTCCTTTTGCTCCTAAACGAAATTCTATTCTCCCCCCTCCTTACGCGTGTGTTTAATCTAAAACGCTAGGACACGGGAATTTAACATGGAATTTCTTCAATTCGTCTTATATTTTTAATTTTCCTTTTTTTTCTTTTTCTTGTTTCTTTATTCGTTATTGTTAGCTTAATATTTACTGACTATAAGTACGTTTAATAAATAATCATTAGTTATAATAAAATATATGAGTTAGTATCTTGTATCAAATATGCAATTACTATTTTAAATACTGATCTGATTTATCTTATAAATATTAACAAATTATAATTTTTATTAAACAAAATATTCGCATAGATTGATCATTTTATTTAACGAAATATTGATCTAAAAAAATATTAGATGATTTTGTTCATTTTGATATTAAACTTTAATCCAATTATCTTGTATACTTTATTATTTTTATTTTTTTCTAAACAAAGTATAAAAAATGAAATTTAATATGCATATTTTTACCTCTCTCTCTCTTTCTCTCTTTTTCTTTTATAGAACATTACACTTTAGGTATCAATCAAAAAAGATTGGTTAAATTCCAAGCAAGTTTACCGATCATCTCTCGTCGAAGACCCTTGTAAGAAATAAATCAAATTACTTTCTTAGTTGGTTGAACGTTCTCGTAAAAATGTGAATATGAAAACAAAAGAAAAAAATTAAATAAAAATAAACGTTTACAAGAAATCTCACCGCAACTCTACTCCGAGATGTTTTCAAGAGCTATGGTGTATAAACATAAAAAAGATGTCCCGTTTGGACAACAAGGTAATTGCTCCTTGGACGACGAAGAACCGAGTAAAAATAGCTGTCACCTTTTTTAGTTAAGCTTATGTCTCCTTTGTGTACCGTACTTGTATCATAAGAGAAATTGCAATGACACTCTCCCTCTCCCTCTCTCTCTTTCTCTCTCTTTCTCTCTCTTTCTCTCTCTCTCTCTTTCTTTCTTTCTTTCTAGTAAATGAAAAATGAATGGAAAATCGAATCTCATTTTCTCTCTCACCTTTTTTTTTTATTTTTAAATTATATTCCAGCTCGTAGAGATATACCAATTTGTCCAAACCAATATTAATGTTTATGTTTGAGAATAGAATTCATGAACAGGTATAATGTTCCAATTGATAATTAATACCTTTGTTTAGATGTGTGTATATGTGATACAGTTTGACAAGTAAATAAAAATTTAACAAATTAATATGAAATTAATATTTTGTATACTAACATAAATACAGATAAGTCATATATATGATTGATTTGTTATATAAATTGTGTTGAATTTTTTGTAAGTAATATTTATTAAAAAATAATTTGTAATATTAGATTAATTAGAAATGATTATTTGAAATGTAATTTAATTTGACTAAACTAAACTTTTGTTAACTGAATCATTTTCAAAGCATAAGAGAGTGGGTGGGTAGTGGTACACCCTTATGTACATATGTACATTTTGGCAACACGAATCGTAGATATGTACACGTTGCTGCTTCCATGAATGTATCTCCCTCTTCAAATGAAACGTTCTGTTAGGCTCTGGTGCCTTGAAAATTGCCGAACGTGGTTGGTTTACTGAAGGTTCCTTTCAATCAAAATACGCTTGTGTGCCATTCCGATTCTTGCAAATTATAATTTCATTTAATCAGTCTAAAAAAACAGCGTTTATTATTACTTATATAATAAAATAATAAACAAAGCATATGATAATTATAATTATTTTGTTCAAATGTTCTTATTCAATGTAAATATTAATTTAAAAAGTTAATAAATATATTATCAAAAAGAAAAAACATTATTTATATATCACAATAACAAAATGCATAAATATATTTACATAAACATGAACTAATAACAAGTACAATCTTCATTTTAGAACCGAATTTCAAACTCAAAGGATATACAAATAGCTGTAAAAGTAAACTTTGAACTTAACGGAAGATAGTATAAAAAGAAAAAGAAAAATATTTTAAACGGAGGCGGAGTTCTCTATTCCATTCGTAGAAAGTATTATATATAACAGCAAGTAGTAGCAGTAGTAGCAACAGTAGCAGCAGCAGCCCAAGAGTGAATTCACAAAAAGACTCGGAGAGTCTTAAACGTTGGGAGCTTAACCAAAGGTACATCGAAAAGGTAGAGTGCGGCTCTAACAGCGTGAAGACTCTAAGTAGAAGGCAAAGAAGATGGAAGAGAAAGAGAAGGGGCTGTACAGGGTAAGGTGAAGATAGAAAGTAAGTTTGGTTCTATTTTCTTTCTCTCTCACTTGTACGAACGAGATTCGAAGGGAGTTGGAAGGTACCCTCCCCTTCTCTTACTACTCGGTACGAAGCTCTTTTTTCTTGGATCATTCGCGATCTTCCCAAAGTCTTTCTTTTTTCTTCTTTCTCCTCTTCTGACTTCTCGAATGCTTGAAAGGAAATAAAAGTTACTCCGTGGCATTATCTATCCGTTCATTTTATCGAGTCTTCCTTCCTTCTTTCCTACCTTCCTCGTTACTATTATTTACGAATTTTCTTTATTTTATTCTCTACCTTTCATTTTTTTGTTCTTTTCTTACTTTCTCACGCCCAAAAGATATTTTTTCCTGGATGTAACGCTTAACAAGTATGACACTTTCACCTTGGGACTTTGCCAAACTATGAGAAAGAAAAAGAATATGGTATATACATAAATAAGTACTCGTAGAATCGTTCAACACCTACTTTGCATTTGGCTAATCCTCTTGGTGGATTAACTCTACGAGTCTTATGTTGTTTTTACGTTTGAATAAAAACGTCTATGTATATATAATCCAAGATTTGTAAATTTTATTCGAAATGTCTGAAAGATATCGTTTGCTATACAGAAACCAAAAAATTTATATGATTTTTGTTCCTACTTGTAATTAGATATTTGAGTTTAGTAGAAAACAAAAAAGAAAACTTTCTTCTAAATTATATGATATAGATACAGGATATACGATATAAGACAGAATTCTCAAAGCGAACGAAACGGTAATGATACTCGACATTACACACCATAGAACACAAACCAAATCGAACTGAACTGATTCTATTCGAGTTCAAGGAGTACTTTGATGGATGTCATCTATGTATGTATATTGTGTGTCGCGTTATCAGAAGGTCCGATTAGTGTAGTTTATGCGGCACGCGTTTGATACGCTACCAGCTAAATACCATACAACCCATAGGCATTCAAGCTTCCTTTGATCGCTGATCTACCTTTAATACGTGCCTCAGTGTGTCTTTCAAGGAGCATCTTACATCTTCTTTATCATTTTAATCGAAGGATTATAATATATTGTACCAATTAATTTAATAAACACATACATATATATATATATATATATATATATTGTATGTTAGTTATAATAATTTATAAGTATTTTAAATAGATAAAATTAGTATTTATAATGAAAATAGGCTTTTTAGAATTACGTTAGGTTACATATTAACCCTTTGAGTGCTAAATACTTTTGTCTACAATGTTTTTTAGGAATGAAATAATTTATTATTAATCAGATTTTATAATAATAAATTATATTTAATAATTAAAGTATTTGTTTCTCTGTGAATATAATTTAATTTAATTAATATAAACGTTATATTATTTTACACTAATATTAACAAATACGTATATGCGTCTAACGACCACGCTAGTAATTTTTACCAAGCGCATATATGCGTTCATAGCACTCAAAGAGTTGACACAAAATATGTATTTTTTTTTATTGAACTACTATATTTAAATACATTTATTTATAGAGAAAACTGACGAAAAAATTATTTTAAAAAAACAACTATAAATAAATAGATACTTATACAATACATCATGTGAGTATGAAACGTGTATTAATAAAATATTCAAGAATACACTCAGATTTGTTTTCCTCTTGAAAATTCTTACACAATAAGTGCAACATGTTGTACA